CAGCTGGCTTTCGGTTTCTCTTTTTTATTTCTTCACAGCCATATTTTTGTTTCAGCTCCTCTTCTCTTCTTGGTCTTTGGAACTACTTCCTGATCTTTTCTCTTCAGATTGGGGCATGATTAAATATTAACTTGTATGGCGCGCGTGAGTGTGTGTGTGTGTGTGTGTGTGTGTGTGTGTGTGTGTGTGTGTGTGTGTGTGTGTGTGTGTGAGTGTGTGTGTGTGTGTGTGTGTGTGTGTGTGTGTGTGTGTGTGTGTGTGTGTGTGTGTGTGTGTGTGTGTGTGTGTGTGTGTGTGTGTGTGTGTGTGTGTGTGTAAGCTGGGGCGTGGTGGCTGATATGGGAGAGCCTTTTTATCTGCCTGCTGCCGCGCTAGAGTTTCATCAGGCAAGGACTCCTCCGGCTGGTTTGTGTGGGCAGCAGTAGGGAACACACTGATGAGAATAAACCGGTTGACCGAAACACACTCACTAACATGAACACAAATGTTGTGAACATCTACATCCACACACAGATTAATTCTCCGTCTCCGTGCCCTTTCAGCATCCGTCTCCCCTCCGAGCGTTGGAGAGGCGAGGGGCCCAAACAGTCGCTGTGAAGTGTTTATCATCTTTATTACTTTATTACTTTTCTGAGTTTTCCCTAATCTGATTTTATTACATTGTTATCAGATGATGAGTTCTCTCCTCCGTGCTCTCTACTTTCTCATCTAGCCACAAATTTACTGAGCTTGGCAACTGATGCATGGCAGGAGAAGTGGATGCAGACAGGGCTTCACAACAAGGTTTAGGGTTTTTGCTCGTCTCACACAAACACGGTCATTTCACATCTTCTTTCTTCTATAAAACTCATAGATGTCGGCTCTTATAAGGTTTGAACGTTAGTTTTAACCACCAGAACATTGGGGATAGCTTTTTTCTTCACATTTTTGTTAATTGTATTTGTTTAAGTGGTTTGTTTTCCGTTTCTTGTTGGAGGGTTGCAGTAGTAACAGGGCCATGAGAGAAGCGCACACGTGTCACTCTTCCCTCCCTTCAGAACATCTGTAAAGCCCTCGCCATTGCAGACGATCCCGCTCACCCGTCACACTGCCTCTTTGGTCTGCTGCCATCAGTGAGGAGACTGCAGAGTCTTCAGGCATGGACCAACAAACTGAAAGACAGCTTCATTCATCAGGTAAGCTGAACTCACTTCCGTCCATGCCTCTGGCCTTTCTTCTTTTACCCCCCTCCGTGTAACACCGGACTTTGATTTAAGTATTTGTATAAAATATGTTTTATTTATTTGTCAGTGTTATTTTAAGTCATGTCAGTTTTTCATGCCAATTTATTGCACTAAGGGTTGGAGAAAAATAGCAATTTTGATCCTCTGTATGTGCTGTACATGAGGAAGAACTGACAACAGAGTAGACTGATAGATTTATTGCTCTTTAAACATTAAGATCCTGCTGACATAACCTGCTCAGGGACTAAGCTCCATTGGTGTATTTCAATTCAAGGGCTCAATTCAATTCAAGTTTATTTATAAAGCGCCAAATCACGACAAGAGTCGTCTCAAGCCACTTCACATAATAAACATTCCAATACAGGTTAGTTCATTAAGCCAATCAGAAAAAAAAGTTTCCTATATTCCATTTAATTCAAAAATACTTTATTAATCCCAGAGGGAAATTGATTGCTGCAGTAGCTCAGAATAATAATAATAATAATCAAGTCATCAAAGAGTTATTTTGTATAAGGAACCCAGCAAATTGCATCAATCCTCATGTTAAGCAAACATTTAGCGACAGTGGAGAGGAAAACTCCCTTTTAACAGGACGAAGCCTCCAGAGGATCCTGACTTTGTATAAGCAGCCATCCACCACGACTCACTGGGGATCGAGACGACAGAGCAGACACACACACACACACACACACACACACACACACACACACACACACACACACACACACACACACACACACACACACACAAAGTAATGTTTCTATGGTTACATTGTGATTTCGTCGTCGTCTTCCTCCGCTTATCCGGGTCGCGGAGGCGGCATCCCAACTGGGGAGCTTCAGACCGTCCTCTCCCCGGCCTTCTCCACCAGTTCCTCCAGCAGGACCCCAAGGCGTTCCCGGACCAGATTGGAGATGTAACCTCTCCAACGTGTCCTGGGTGGACCCGGGGGCCTTCTGCTGGCAGAACATGCCCGAAACACCTCCCCAGGGAGGCGTCCAGGAGGCATCCTGACCAGATGCCCAAACCACCTCAACTGGCTCCTTTCGATCCGGAGGAGCAGCGGTTCTACTCCGAGTCCCTCCCGAATGTCCGAGCTCCTCACCCTATCTCTAAGGCTGAGCCCGGCCACCCTAGGGAGGAAACTCATTTCGGCCGCTTGTATTCGCAATCTCGTTCTTTCGGTCATTACCCAAAGCTCATGACCATAGATGAGGACTGGGATGTAGATCGACCGGTAAATCGAGAGCCTGGCTTTCTGGCTCAGCTCCCTCTTCCCCACGACAGATCGGCTCAGCGTCCGCATCACTGCAGACGCTGAACCAGTCCGCCTGTCGATCTCCCGATCCCTCCTACCCTCACTCGTGAACAAGACCCCGAGATACTTAAACTCCTCCACTTGAGGTAGGACCTCTCCCCCGACCCAGAGGTGGCAAGCCACCCTTTTCCGGTCGAGAACCATGGTCTCAGATTTGGAGGTGCTGATCCTCATCCCAGCCGCTTCACACTCGGCCGCGAACCTACCCAGCAAGAGCTGAAGGTCAGAGCTGGATGAAGCTAGGAGGACCACATCATCCACGAAAAGCAGAGACGAGATTCTCCTGCCACTAAAGTCGACACACGCCACACCACGGCTGCGCCTAGAAATTCTGTCCATAAAGGTAATGAACAGAACCGGTGACAAAGGGCAGCCCTGGCGGAGTCCAACCCTCACTGGGAACAGGTCCGACTGACTACCTGCAATGTGGACCTAACTCATGCTCCTCTGGTAAAGGGACTGAATGGCCCTTAACAGAAAGCCACCCACCCCATACTCCTGGAGCGTCCCCCACAGGGTACCCCTGGGGACACGGTCATAAGCCTTCTCCAAATCCACAAAACATGTGGATTGGTTGGGCAAACTCTCATGCCTCCTCCATCACCCTTGCAAGGGTATAGAGCTGGTCCACAGTTCCACGGCCAGGAAGAAAACCACATTGCTCCTCCTCAATCTGAGATTCAACTATCGATCGGACCCTCCTCTCCAGTTGTGATTTCTTAGTAGATATTCTATTTAGTGAGAGATAAACTTTATTGTATTTATCCTAGTGAATCTATAATTAAATGGGTAAACTAGTAGCACATTCAATGTCAAAGGAAGTAAAATGTTATCAGGAGAGGGAGAATGATTAAGTGGTTAGCAGCAGTATTCAAGCTAATGGCCCCCTCCATGACGCCACCACAGCTCAGCAGAACATCAAGCTTCTTCTTCTTCAGAATTTCACAATTCTGTAAAGATGTATTTTTGAAAAGCATTGTAGTAAATCAATAACAAAAATATTATCTTATTGATGTTGACATTAAATAGCCCAATATTTAGAAAAATTAAATCTTCACCCAAAATGAACAACCCTGGATTTCCAAAACAGTGTGCACACGCTTACATTATTGCGTCTTTATCAGTCAAACAAATTGCACCTTCACCAGCTGCACTTCGGGGTTATTTGTGAAGGAGCTGCTGCAGATCATCTATAATATATGACAGAACTTACTTCCAGTCTAATGGGGGTTAACAGAGGGATTCGCCGGAGGCTGAATCAAAAATGCCTGGGAGGGAAGACCGAAACTCTTTATTTGTTGCTACATCATTCAGAATTAATCAGGTTAATATATTCAGAAATCTCATTTTCAAATTCCTTCAGTTTGAATTCACACTTGTAGCTGTTCTCAAACAGGTTTGCAATCAGATGCGTCTTCAGCTCTTCCTCCTCTTGGGATGGGGAGCACCAGGGTCTCCCAAACCTCGATGTTTCCCAATGAGGCTGTCCTCATATAGATCCGGTCAGCAGCAGCGAGGGAAACACATTGATTTCTCGTCAGCATCCTGAGAGCGGAGCTTTGGCGAGGCTGGAGCCACCGGGGGAACATCGGCATCCTGCTGGCGTCCACGCAGCTGCGCTCTGCGCCTGTGCTGCGGCCCGTCAGGCCGCTGAGTGGCGGAGAGACCCCGGGATTATTGAGCAGAGGGAGGGGTGGGAGGGGGGACACCCCTCAATTAGACAGATCGGCCCGCACCTCGTCAGCATCCGGCTATCTGCTCTCATTAATCAATGACACAAGCAGCAGAGGGAGGCGGAAAGTTAATTTGGAGGACGTTTACCACCGCCCATCACAGTTTAAACCGCGACTCACGCACTCAGCATTTTATAAAGTATATAAAAGTAAAGAATAAAGTATCTAAATAATGTGGCACGTGCGGTTAAAACGCGCTAAATCAACCTTTGCTCCGAATAATAAAGTCTTGTTTGGGTGGGGGCTTTCAGACAGACATAAACCACGTTGTTCACATTGTGAACGCTGGACGAGATTTGCACTCTCTCGCCTCTCATTCTCTGCCAAACAGCAATCTGCCTCAGGAAGTCCCAAATAAGGACAAGGAACTGGAAACCCACCGGAATAGGTCCTTATGTAGTCACGACCTTATAAGGCACGACGGCGCAAGGCTTTCCGGCAGCAGCGCTGCCTGCCTGCTGCACAGACGGGAAATCCAAATCAAATCTACGGGGCGAGCGGGACAGGGCAAGAATTATGCGGCTGTCGGAGCGAGGCGCTTGGCTATGAAGACACATCGATTTGGGACAGAGGGAGAGTCCGCGCAATTTACTGCAAGCGCTTAATATAAAGACTCTCTTCTGTTTTCCCTCTGGGCCGGCGTCATGTGTCCTCCACTGCAGTGCCTAAATATGGGCTTCCTCTGCTCCATATATGGACATCTACGTCACGGCAAGAGTGTATAAATGTGCGGGGAAACCTCGCAGCTCAAAGAGAGTACAGAGAGCTCAGAAGAGCAACTGTTAGAGCAGAGAGAGACAAACAGACCCGAGACACATTGCTCCACAAGTACAAAGTCCACTCACAACAGCATCCAAACAATCCTGATTGGATGAGCAGCTTCATTTATTACAAGAATCAAAATTGATCCGTTGATTAATTTTGATGAATTTTAGGGGATGAGCACAAAGGACATTTTGATTTTTTTGTGATCAAAGTGGATTTTTTTCTAAACTTTGAGAAGGAAAACAACAGAACACCTGGCAAGTCACGGAGGAAGGCAGAAACCACTGTCTTCCACAGCATCAGCAGAAGTGATCAGCGCTCCCTCAGTGATCCAGTCCACCTGCGAGGCTGTGCTCTGCCAGCACACACTCGCACACAGCCTCCCTCCACTCTACAGCAGCCGCCAGCGCAGCCTCAGCCGTGCAGCTTCAGCACCAGCAGAGGATGGCTGCAGCCAAGACCGAGATGATCCTGCCTACCCTGCAGATCTCTGAGTCTCTCAGCTTTCCTCACTCCCCCATGGATAACTACCCCAAGCTGGAGGAGGTGATGATGCTCAGCTCAGCAGGGACTCCTTTCCTCACCGCCTCTGCACCCGAAGGTGCTGGCTTTGGCTCCGGTGAGCCAGGAGAACAGTACGACCACCTTGCTGGAGGTAAGAAATTGGATCATTTTGATTCATCCTCTACACCGCTTGCAAATCTGACACTAAACTAAGAAAAGATGCAGGATTAAACAAATATGTGTCATATTTAAAACATTTTCATTCAAATAGCTCTAATTATTTGTAAAAATGTCACTTTTTGCATTTTCCATTGAAACTTTGTACTTTAGTGTTAATTTGAGCTGCTCAGTCAAACACATTTTAGAGGCTCCGGCTCTATTCAAATTGCATGCTTAAAACCAGCTGAGCTGCAGTTTCACTAATCAATTGCCTCTGGCTCTGATGGTCTTTAGGAATCTGTGTGTGTGTGTGTGTGTATGCGCGCGCACACACGTGTGTGTGTGCACATGTGCGATTGTGCAACACAGGAAGGCAGAAAACGTGAAGAAAATAGAGAAGGTGTCAGTAATGAAAATGTGAGCAGAAAGCTTGCACAGCAGCATGCTGAGATGTAACGCAAAGTGTTGAAGAGTTTGGGGAAAAGAGTTGGGTTGCTTATCTGCATGGCCACCTGAACGATCTATAAAAACAGAGGTGGGGGGAACAACCTGTCCACCTCCCTGGCAGGAGCCCCCCCCCCAACACCTAGATATTGGCAGTTTGATTAATGTCTCTGGTTTATCTGTGCTCTCTGCAGATACGTTACCTGATATCCCCTTCAGCTGTGAGAAGCCAGTTGTGGAGCAGACCTACCCCACCCAGAGGTTGCCCCCCATCACTTACACCGGCCGCTTCACTCTAGAACCCGCCACCTCATGCAGCAACAGCCTCTGGGCGGAGCCCATCCTGGGCCTGTTCACCAATCTGATGAGCAATGTTGGTTCCACCACCAGCTCTTCCTCTGTTTCCTCACAAACCACCCTGTCCTCGTCCTCGGCCATTCCATCCTCCACCACATCTTCCTCAACCTCTTCGTCGTCTCAGAGCTCCAGTCTCAGCTCCTCGATTCACCACAGCGAGCCCAACCCAATCTACTCGGCAGCTCCAACTTACTCCAGTCCAAACTCTGACATCTTTCCAGACCAGGGTCAGGCATTCCCTAGCTCATCTGGAGCAGTGCAGTACCCACCCCCTGCCTACCCTAACAGCAAAGCCTGCAGCACGGGCTTCCCTGTACCCATGATTCCTGACTACCTCTTCCCACAGCAGCAAGGGGAGATCAGCTTGGTGCCCCCAGACCAAAAGCCCTTCCAGAGTCAGTCGAGCCAGCCTTCTCTCACGCCTCTGTCCACCATCAAGGCCTTTGCCACTCAGACGGGTTCACAGGACATAAAAGGTGTCTACCAGTCCCAACTGATTAAGCCCAGCCGCTTACGCAAGTACCCCACCCGGCCGAGCAAGACGCCACCACACGAAAGGCCCTACGCTTGCCCCGTGGAGACGTGTGATCGCCGTTTCTCGCGGTCCGATGAGCTGACACGCCACATCCGCATCCACACTGGTCAGAAACCATTCCAGTGCCGCATCTGCATGCGAAACTTCAGCCGCAGCGACCACTTGACAACACACATCCGCACTCACACCGGCGAGAAGCCCTTCGCCTGCGAAATATGCGGCCGCAAGTTTGCCCGCAGCGACGAGAGGAAACGGCACACAAAGATCCACCTACGGCAGAAGGACAAGAAGGCAGAGAAGGCTGGAGCAGTGGCAGTAACATCAGCACCGGTGTCAGTTGCCTCCCCCGCCTCCAGCTACCCCTCTCCCATCACATCCTACCCCTCTCCAGTGTCTTCTTACCCCTCTCCAGTCACTTCCTGCTACTCCTCACCTGTCCACACTTCCTATCCATCTCCTTCAGTCGCCACCACCTACCCGTCAGTGTCAATGTCCACTACCTTTCAATCCCAGGTGGCCTCGTCCTTCCCGTCCTCGGTTGCGTCTAACATCTACAGCTCCCCCGTCCCCACCCCGCTGTCAGACATGCAGACCACCCTCTCCCCAAGGACAATCGAGATCTGCTAAAACACACACACAAAAAAAAAAAACCAGAGCAAGCAGAAAATAAACTTTTTATACTCTCTACGCACCTCGACTTCAGCAAGAGTCTTTTTTTATTTGAAGGGAAAGAAATCAACATCAAAAGGACTTCGTCTTCTTCCTCCAAAAGGCACTTTTCTGCTCTCTGTGCAGTGTCGGGTGAATCTTGAGATATACCTGAGAGACAGAAACAAAAGAGACATGTCAAGGACTGGGCAAGGACAATATAAGATGAAAAGGGATATTTTATTTCCTGTCTTTGTAAAACAAATACAGCCCTTCAAATGCACGAGGGACTCCAGACACGGGGAGTAGAAAGCGGCTCTGGCGGCTCTGCCAGGAACTTCGGAGTGCCAGCGTTGCCGTGCCGAAGCACGTCCGTCCTTGAGGCATTCATTCAAAAAGACATTGAGTAATATACATAAGCTATCATGTATGTATATTGTACATGTGCCATGTTTCGTTTTCTAATCATTCTTTGGTACCACTGATGTGAACAATTATTTGCATATTTGCATTGTATTATTTGAAGTGAGCAGGGCCATAATTTCTACATACTTTCTTCTGTTATGTAGTGATGATGCTGTGATATGTTTTGACATTGTTAAAAAAAAGAAAAGCACTTAAGTATTCGAGCATGAGTAAGAGTGATGTTACTTTCTGTTTGTAAATATCATCCCACGGTACTATCTCTTTCTCACATGTGACATATCGCTTGGTTGTATGGAAAAATTCCAAAATTGGACAAAAAAAATCCAAACAAGAGAAACGCTCCTGTTATTTGGTGCCTTTAGTGAAGCCTTGCAGATGTTGTGACTCGGCCGAGCGCGAGAGAGGATGCACTGCATCTCGCCTTAAGGGTGGAGGGAATATTTTTGTTACAGAATGTACGAGGAGAGGAGGGGGAAGGGGGTGAGCTGTGAGGGCACCGCTTCATTTTGTCAGAATGTAAGCAAAAAACAACAAATAAGATAAAAAGTATAAAGGTATATTTTTGTAAAACTTACATGTAAATATCCACATCTTCAAGAGCTGGAATGTTGAAGTTACCTACTGAGTAGGCATGGGATTCTTTTGTATGTTATTTACATGCAGTTCATTATTTTGTGGTTATCTTTATTTTGTATTTGTGTTTGTTAAAACAAGTGACTGTTTCTGGCTTCTAAACACATTGAATGCGCTTAACTGCCAATGGGATATTTGGTGTACAAGAAATCCTCCCAGAAATGAAATATAAATAAAAATATAAATATATATGAAGCCTTGTTTTCTCAGACTTGATTGTTTGGCTTTATTGAGCTCTTTCACACACAAAAAAAGATCTTCACCACCATGAAAATCACATTTTCCATCATCTTACAAGCACAATTTAGCGTAACTCCTCATCGCTGAAGGCACCGGTTTGATTTAAGAGAAACACACAGCGTGAACATAGAAAACTCGACTTCCATCTCTATTTTCTCACTTCAAAACCAACATTTAACGATGAAACCAACGCATGGCTGTAAACTCTGAAGATGAACGAGCTCTTATCAGATTAAACGTTCTCTTGAAGACATTCAGCTTATCAAATTTGTAATTTTATTTGAGATTCCAAGATAAACTCGTATTTGTGACTCTTCCGTGAATCTGAATTTCTCAGTTAGCTGATAGAAAAGTGATGCTTGGGCAGGGACATTGTCCTGTCCTTAGACCTGCTGTGGGCCATCTTCACAGAGTGCAGGTGAAATGCATCTCAGAATAATTGCCCCGGTTTCCACAAACGTTTGGCGAGATGCTGTCACCTCTCAGTGAGCCAGCTGTGACAACTGGTTCACCCGTTCATTGGACCAACAGAACAAATGGACCCTGAAAGGTTTGGATTCTTGGCTTGAAAATCAGCGATAACAGCCTCTTCGTTCAGCCGTCAAAATTCACCAAAGAGCCAAGGAACCCTCGCTCCGGGTTTGGAAATCAGATAGCTCCTATAACGTTTTGGCTAACCGTCTGCGTGAGATTTGGAGAAAATTAATGTTGTGAAAAGCAGAAACCAAAACACTCACAAGCACCAAACAGAAAGCAGCGTAACACAAGAGTAATGGAGGGAGGAGAAGAAATGAAGATAATTGGTCTCTTCGTTCTGGAGTTCCAAACCGTCATTGGTGTGTGTGCATGTGCGTGTGTGTGTGTGTGTGTGTGTGTGTGTGTGCACAGTGATAAAAAGACATGAAATCAAACATTAGGTCTCGTTCACATCTTCACCGCTGTCGTTCTTTTTATAAATATTTGAAATGCACTCATAAGAAGAACCCTTCACACAAACACAAATCAGCATTGTGGGGAGATAAATCATCTTGATGTTTAAATGATGATGTTTCTCACTCCGAAGCTTATCTGGCTCTTTTGGGAAAAATCTCAGACTTCTTGTGTGGCTTAGAGTAAAAAAATGAAAATAAAAACGTCACATCCTGTCATTGTTTGTTATATTATTTTGGTGTCTGGCAGCAAATAAAGAGCCACTCAGCAGCTTTTGCTTCAGAAACTTTCTCGTATTGCTACACTTCTGGAAAGTCTCAATGTGAAAGCCACAGACTGGGCTCTCTCAGCCCTATTTCATATTTAGGAGACAGCGTTAGTCTTGCAGACATGGTCTGACGTAGAGTCCGCTAGAGCAGTTTCCAGCCAGGATCTCTGGGATAATGCAGCGTGGCCTATCGAATCCTTTGATTCCAGGCTTTTCGTCGCTTATCAGAGATCACGTGCTGGGTGTGTTCTGTTCGGGAAGGTGTCAGAAGAGTGTGAGAGGATTGGGTGTCGTGGCTTCACTCTGCTGTAACCCACAGTGGATCCACCTCACACACACCCAGCGGGCTTCGACTTCAAGGGCCCTGCCTTTGTTCAAAAATCTATTTGTTCTCATATTCTTTTTGGGAACTTTGTAAAACGACAGAAAAGAGTGAACGTGGAAGCAAACCCTCCATCACCCGTCCCACTGCCACCTCTCTGCCTCCACCCCCCTCTCTGATTGTACCTCGCTCCCTCTCCGTGGTGATGCATATTTTGCTGGTGATGCTAATGATCTTCCCCTGCTGTATTCTGATGCAAGGTCTGTCTACACTTTTCCCTTTCATCCACATACAAATGTGCTCTTATTGCCTCTTCGCCCTCGGGCCTTTTAAGATGCCTTTTTGAAATATGCCGTTTGATAAGCTCATCATTGGCCAAGTCCCTGCAGTGATTAGAGCTCGCTTTAATGTGAGCAAGTTAGAGAGTGAACGAGGGACTATGAGGCCGGCACACATCCATTCTGCACTAGCCTCACCCTTTGACATCCTCCTCACATCCACTGGGGAGAACCTGGTGTTGGGTAGGATGACCTAAACTAAAGCCTGCCCTAAACACTGCTGAACTTCACCCACCTTTCATCTGAGACATGGAGATTAAGCAAAGGAGAAACGACACAGGAGGATTGCCTTCATAGAAAAGTGACTCTGAGCCCTGGAAGGCTAGAGATTCCTGTACTTTATCACACAAATGTGACAGTGGGACTGCTCTCTAATGCCTTTTAAATATGCTCCATTGATCTCGTGTTCAGAGGCTCCCTCTGCCTCGCTGGGATGGCTGTCTCATCTTCACAAACGGATCTGCTGCAACGGTCGGCAGGTGCTTTCTTCCTTCACTACCTGTTGCTCATTTTTTACAGTATACAGGTCGAACCTAAACTAGCTGGTTTACAGCCGCTCCACTGGATACTAACAGACATGTTGCTCATAGTCGGTGTCAGACACTTGTATATTTTATGGATGAGAATTTGAAATTGGTCAAGATTCAAGGATTTGCTGTGTTTCTTTATGCTTTGTATGCATAAAGAAATTATATGCATAAACCAATAGAAATGGGTTAAATCTCAGTATTATACAAACAGACGGCTGCTACTGATTAAACAATATCATTCAGTTCATTTTTATATCTTTGGTGAGGAATTTTTGCACAACAAGAAAACAAACACTCATGTTTCAGTATTTTTTTAAAACTTCTTAGTCATGACAACAAAACCCCCCAAAAACCCCATCAGGTATGACTGGCAGTTTTGACGCTCAACCCCAAGGTCACCAGTGGGCCCTACCCCCTGGTTACATTTCTGGAGATGCCCCTGTGTGACAGCTTGTGAATCTATGGACGTAGTTTAGACTTTAGAAGTGAGGGGACACTACCGGCATGAGGCCCAGGGTGGGGGTTGGGGGGTCTTTTACAATAAGTTCCAGTGGCAAACAGGCTTCCACACAAACGATTGGTTTCCGCTTGGTCCTAGTGCTACCAGTGTCCATTTAATATAGTGTATTGCTGTTTTTGGACAGTAAAAAGTGCAGGGGACAAAAACTGACCTTGGAAACTACATCCATGTGTGATCATCAACAGATGCTTTATTTGCCTCTGAAGACACAGTGTTACAAATTTCCTCTGCGTCTCTGTTTCAGGTGTGTGATTGTGTTTGCAGAACACCTGTCAAAAGAAATAAATAAACAAAACTCACAGGATGTAAGAGAAGTGCAGCCTCCACGCGCTTCTTTGAATGCGTTATTTATTTATTTATTTATTTTCTGCTCTTCTCGAAACAGATTTTTGACGTGTTGCTTCCACGATAATCTACAGGTGTCCTGGCAACTTTAGCTCCACTTAATAAGCCTAGCTTATTTGAAGTACTCAGCTTTGAAGAGACAACAAAACAGCACATGCTTAAGTAGCTCCAAATATGACACCCCTTCAACTCCGCATCAAGTACACTACAGCTTTACAAAAGGCACCTGGGTGGCTCTGAAATGCAAACAGACCCTTAAAAGTCTTTATGTGTCAAGGCTAGTAAGTAGGCTCCACTTGTTCTTTCCTTTTTGAGTCTTAAGATACTAATAATTGTTTTTATTATTCATTATTGGAGTCTATGGAAACCCATTGTCCATAAATTCCGGTTCCGGTTGAGTGAACGCTGGCGCGTCTCGCTGCCGCTGCTCGCTGGCAAACAAACTTTTTGTATTTTTTTTTCTTCTTTTTCACCCTGGTCACATCCCTGTGTCGGTGAAAACTCATTTTCACCTACCTGCTCAGCTTGCGTTCTGGTTGCACATCACCACCTCCCTGCTCCACTCCATAATGTGGTCCAGCAGGATTTCTGTGTGCCTCGCACTGGCCTGGATCATCCTGTCGCTCATTCTTCTGTCCGTGGATGGCCTTCTCCAGTACTCGGCGGCGGAGCTCTTCAACCTCCGCTTTCGCTACTCCGGATCTCCACCACCAGCTCTGTGCCTCTTCCCCGACATCACCTTCCAGCCTCGCCGTCGGTATATCCATCGGGGGTCCCGGCGGAACCTCCATCTCGACGGCTCCAAAGGAATACCCTCCTTCTGGTCCACGACTAGCCGGCGGCTACCCAGGAATACCTGCCGAGCTGCCGACTCCAGCGTGTTAGCCCGGCTGGCTAGTCGGACTAATGCTCCTGTCGCCAGGGACTTCCGCACTGCTAATTTTGGTCTTCTCAACATTCGCTCCCTCTCTGGTAAAGGACATCTCCTCCAAGATACCATCAGTGACCATAAGCTAGACTTTCTTTGTCTGAACGAAACATGGCAACAACCCAGCGATTTCTCACAACTCAATGACTGTACTCCTCCCGGATTTGTTTACCTCTCCAAACCCCGTGGGTCGGGCCGCGGCGGTGGTCTCGCGATACTGTATCGCGAGACTTGGAAGGTCCTTCCCGTAAACCTTCCTCCTCTCACCACTCTGGAATGCCTCGCCTGTCAACTCTCCGGCCCGACCCCCACAATAATTGTCACTGTTTATCGTCCCCCCAAGTTCAGCCCTGAGTTTTTAAATGAACTCTCTGCTCTTTTATCCCATCTGTCCGCCCTTTCCCCAAATGTAATTTTACTTGGTGATTTTAATATTCATATGGACAATATGGCCCTCCCCCTCAGCAAAGACTTCTCCTCATCTTTGGACAGCCTCAGTTTTCATCAATATGCCAATTTTCCCACTCACATTAAAGGTCACACCCTGGATTTAATCTGCTGCTCCGGCCTGACCCCCTCCAACTGTACAGCTGATCCGCTCCCTTTCACGGACCACTTCCTCATCTCCTTTTCTGTTCCCCTCCGTCTCTCCATCATCAAGTCACCACGTATCATTTCTTTTCGTAATATTAAGGACATTGATCTAGCCTCCCTGTCCTCCAGTTTTGCCACCTTGACCCCTAATTTGTCCTCTACTCCCGATGATCTTGTCAT